CTAGACGACAGCGAGCAGCAAAGTCGACGAGCTCAGCGACAAGAGCAGACGCAGCAGCGGACTCAAAAGAGGGGTCAGTGACGACAGTAGCAAGCAGACGCGTGACAGTAGGACTCGCAGCACGAAGGGAGTCCGACTCTGGGTCGGTAAGCACAGGAAGGGAGGACTCAGGAGGAGAAGGCAAAAGGGCACGCAGAGGAGCAGTGGACGGACGCAGAGACATCCGGTGCGTGCCAGGGACAGGAGGAGGACGCGGACGCGAACCACGACCACTAGCGCGGGCAGCACGAACAGGCGACGCGGGACGAGACGCAGGCTCACGACGCTCAGCAAGACCTCCAGTAGGACCAGTGTAAGGAGAGGGAGCAGGCAGTGGGGAGGTAGGCTCCAACAGTGACTGCGACTGGACAGGCTGTGGACACTCTACCGGAGGAGAAAGACCAAGAACCTGCTGCAGAAGCGGAACGAAGTACGGCCGAGGCCGCGCGGCAGCTCCAGACTCAGCAGGGACAGCACCAGCACCCTCAGCGGCAGCACCAGCGCCACCAACACCTCCAGCGGCAGGACCTCCAGCAGCACCAGCAGCACAACCACCGTCAGGACAGACAGCAGCAGACTCAGCACCAACGCCCTCAGCAGCCCCAGCTCCAGTAGGACCCGCAGGCGTAGCACCTCCGGGACCGGCGGCACCAGTACCCTCGACGGTCGAAGAAGCTCCAGCTCCAGCAGTACGCCTCCAGCGGCAAGCAAACCAGTCGCGCAGCTCCTGTGGTGAGAGGGGCTCCCGCCGAGATGCAGCACCAGGAGAAACCCCAGGCTCAGCGGCTCCAGACGTAGCACCCCCAGGCTCAGCAGCTCCAGACTCAGCACCCCCAGGCTCAGCAGCTCCAGACTCAGCACCCCCAGGCTCAGCAGCTCCAGCTCCAGTAGGACCCGCAGGCCCAGCAGCTCCGGGACCGGCAGCACCAGCACCCTCAGCAGTCGAAGGAGCTCCAGCTCCAGCAGCACGCCTCCAACAGCGAGCAAACCACTCGCGCAGCTCCTGTGGAGAGAGCGGCTCCCGCCGAGACAGAGCAACCGGAGAGCCCCCAGGTCCAGCAGTCGCAGGCTCCGCAGCTCCAGGCTCAGCACCCCCAGGCTCAGCAGCTCCTGACGTAGTACCTCCTGGCTCAGCACCCCTAGCAGCAGCACCCCCAAGCTCAGCACCCCCCGGCCTCGCACCCCCAGGCTCAGCACCCCCAGCAGCAGCACCCCAAAGCTCAGCACCCGCAGGCGTAGCACCCCCAGACTCTGCACCCGCACCAGGACCAGACTCAGCAGCAACCTCGACTGGCTCGACTGTAACTACCTGGGACACACCTGAAGGGGCAGGAACCTGAGGGGGGAGGGGGTCTACCGGGGGGGGAACTGGCACCAGGAAGTCCGGTGGGGGGGGGAGGGAAGGAGTACGGTAGGGGAAGAGGCGGTAGAAGGGGACTGACTCGTCGAACGTGACGTCCTGGGAGGACAGAACACGACGAGAGGAGGGGTGGTAGAACTGCCACCCTGGAGCGTCAGGGGGGAAGCTAAGGAAGACACAGGGAGCAGCACGGGGGGACAGCTTGTCCGCAGACAAGTCGCGGACAAACGCCCGAGATCCCCAGACACGGAACGCAAACGCATCGCCGACCTTCCCCGTCCACAGTAACACTGGGGACATATCGGGCCGAGAGACCCTGGGGTGAAGGTTGAGCTGATGCGCCGCGTACCTCACCGCAAACGGCCACAGAAAATGGGGGGCAGTCGCATGCATCATGGACGTACGAGCGACATCCATGACCATGCCAATGCGGCGCTCAGTAATCCCATTTTGCTGTGGAGAGTCCGGAAGCGTAAAGGTCTGGCGGATCCCCTGTGCACGACAGTAGTCTCGCAGAAGGCGAGAGGAGAACTCCCCACCTCGGTCAGAGTGCAGACGCAGAACAGGAAAGTCCGAGCCGAAGCTCCTCCTGAGCTGGAGACGAGCCTCGCGGATCCAGTCGATCAGCACCTCAGTGACAGCACCCTTGCTGCGCAAGGGGAAGACTGTGGTGTAACGTGAGTAGTCGTCAACCACCAACAGGAAGTAGCGCTCGTGACCCTGCCCACGGACGGGGGCCGGGCCCCACACGTCCATGTGAAGTGTCTGCAGAGGAGCCTCTGTCGGGGGAAACTGGGAGGAGTGAGGAGCAGCCCTGAGGCGCCCCTCGACACAGGGGACACAGGAAGGTCCTGGTCCCAAAGGAAGGGGAGGGAGAGACTGGGGAAGACCAGAGACAAGGACACGGGAAGCCATGCCCCGAAGACGGGGCAAGGAGGGGTGGCCAAGACGGTGGTGCCACAGGAGAGTCTCGTGAGACAAGAGGCGACACGAACAGGGGGCAGACTCAGGACCAGACCTGGACGCAGCAGCAAACACCTGACCTGACGCTGCTACCTGACCGGACGCAGGGACAGGAGGAGACTCAGTGGTCAGGGTGTAGAGGCTCGACCCCGGCCGACACGAGAACGTGGCCAGGTGTCGGCCTGTGCGTGCGTCCGTGCAGTGGGTCACCCGCTGACTCGCAGGAGTGAACTGGTGAACCCCCGCATCCTGCAGGTCTGCACCACTCACCAAGTTCGTCGAGAACGAGGGGAGGTACAGGCCAGACAGGGTGCCCGAGGGGGCAGCCGGACACGGGAGGACAGTGGAAAAGTGAGAGAGGACAGGACCCCCAGAGGGGTCAGCCAGGGGGACTGCAACAGGCCGACCAAGCGGCGTGAGTGTGGTGCGGTCCCGAAAGAAGGAGCGAGAAGCCCCAGAGTCAAGTGTAAAGGTGAGGGAGGCCGAAGCCAACGTGGTACCTGAGAGCGCAGCCTCACCCGCACCTGAGGAAGCAGACTCACTAGCACCTAGAGCAGCAGCCGCACCTGTACCTGGAGCAGGAGACTCACTAGCACCCAGAGCAGCAGCAGCCTCACCAGTAGCTAGAGCAGCAGGTCCTATACCCGGGTCAGGCGGTACGCACAGGTGACCGGTACGGTCAGCACTAGTAGGCAATGCATACATGGCTGTGAGAATAGCATCATAGTCAAGAGCAAATATATCTACCCTCTGCCTAAGCAACTCCACCCAGTCGGGGAGCTGAGCCTCGTCGCCAAACACGGTACGCCAGGCGTCGCTCAGACGGGCGAAGCTGCGGGACTGTGTATGACCAGGTGTCCCACAAGGCTGACCAGTCCAAGCACCAATGAGAATCACGTAAGAGCAGCGAACAGAACTGAGAGACCCTCTACTTTGAGCGTACCACTCACGAAGCTGCTGAGGCGTGAGAGACGCGCGGGGGGGTCGCGGGAGCTGCATCTGGCCGCCACCAGTAGTAGAAGCAGCAGGAGTGGTAGCAGTAGTAGCGCCACCACCCCTACAGCCCCAACCAGCGTACCACTCACGCAGCTGCTGGGGCGTGAGGGACTCACGCAGACGTCGATGGGGCCGCATCTGGCTCCACCAGTAGAGGCAGGAGCAGGAGTAGCAGCAGTAAGGCAGGCAGCCAGGCAAGCCAAAAAGGGAGGCAGGCAGGCAAGCAGGCGACGCGCAGCGTGCTAGAAGGGCAGGGGCTCACCAGTGGTGGGTAGAGTAGGCTCGGCGACTCAGCGGCTCGGCAGCACGGCGGCTCTGCGGCTCGGGCGACTCGGGCGGCTCGGCGGCAGGGCGGCTCGGCAGCAACTGCAGCTCGGCAGCTCGGCGACCCGGCGGCGCGGCTGTAGGGCGGCTCGGCTGCTGGGAGGCTCGGGTGTAGAGCGGCTCGGCTGCAGGGTGGCTCGGCTGCTGGGAGGCTCGGGTGTAGAGCGGCTCGGCGGCGAGGCGGCTCGGCTGCAGGGCGGCTCGAGACGAAGGAGGAGGAGAAGCAGGGGAGACCACACACCTGCCACCCCTCAGGCCCCCTCAGGTCGCCTCGACAGGCGACGGGAAAAGGGGGGGGGGGGGGGAGGCGGCTCGGGCGGCTCGGGCGGCTCAGGTGGCTCGGGCAGCTCGGGCAGTCAGCGGCACAGGCGGCTCAGGCGGCTCGGCTCCTCAGCTGCGCAGACGGCTCGGGCGGCTCTGGCTGCACGGCGGCTAACGGGCGGCGTGGGGGGGGCCAGGACGGCGGCGTGCAGCAGGGACGGGCGGCGCACGGGCGGTGTGAGGCCGGGACGGGTGAGGGGCCAGGACGGGCGGCGTCCTGGCGCCGAGGGGCCGAGACAGGAGAGCGCGGCCGGGACGGGCGTGCGCGGGTGGCTAGGGGCCGGGACGGGCGGCGCTCGGGCGGCTAGGGGCCTGAACGGGCGGCGCGCGAGCGGCTAGGGGCCGGGACGGGCGGCGCGCGGGCGGCTAGGGGCCTGAACAGGCGGCGCGCGAGCGGCAAGGGGCCGGGACGGGCGGCGCGCGGGCGGCTAAGGGCCGGGACGGGCGGCGCGCGGGCGGCTAGGGGCCTGAACGGGCGGCGCGCGAGCGGCTAGGGGCCGGGACAAGCGGCGCGCGGGCGGCTAGGGGCCTGAACGGGCAGCGCGCGAGCGGCTAGGGGCCGGAACGGGCGCGCGCGGGCGGCTAGGGGGCCGCAGGGCAGGCCGAAAGAGTGAGAGCGAGGGCCCGGAGCGCGCTCCGGGCAGAAAAAAAAGTTTAAAAGTGGTGGGCCCTAAGCACAGTTCCCACGGGGGAACCTGCTCGATACCATGTGGAGAATAGAACGAGAGTGAATGAACTATGAGTGAAGTGAGTACAAATAGCAAAACCCTAATTGGGTTGTACCCCCTATGGTATACCCCACTGTAGCCTACACAACAGCATAAGCTACATATATGTTCTGACAATTGGCTCTTCCAAGGCACACGCGGTATGTTCATATCTTGCAAAGCATCACTTGTGGTATGTGCAGACGTTTGTTAGTGATTCAAAGATGCGTGATCTGCAAAATCCCGGGCATGTCAATGCAGCAACAAGATACGTACAACATTCAATTCCATCAAATGTCTACCTCCCGGCCCTGCCCCCCCTTCCCAGCCACGCCCAGCCCCGTACCGGCACGGCGTTCACGCGTGAACGAGACGGCGACCATGGCGGCCGCCAAGGTGATTTCCGACACGCTGAATGCGTGCAACGGGCAAGCCATGAGGCAGCTGAGCGACACCGTGCAGCTGCTCATCGCCGCAATACACATGGCGGCGGGGATGTGGCGACCCCCTCCAGCACCGCCTCTACCGGCGACGGTACCTGCACCTGCACAACCACCTGCCATCGCCAACGACGCGGGCAACCTGGTGAATGCGGCATTGGTTGACAGGGAGCTGGCAGATGCGCCAGAAGAAGATGAAGGGGCGTCGCCGGATGACATGCAGTCTCGCTAGCCGACGGCGCGGTCATTGCGCCAGGGGCGGTGCCTCCTGCGGTAAGCTCTATGCATGTGTTTGCCGAAATGCTTACGGCGCGCACGATAACCTGCCTGGGTTGCTGAAGCAGCCGGCTGCCACCTGTATGCATGCATGCCGCTCCGGTGGTACCACGGCGGGCCGATGCCTGTCATCTCCCTCCAGCTGTTTGTGTCTTCTGTCACCCTCCGTGGCTGGTCATGATGCAGGATCATGTTGTGCAATATGATAATGCAGGCGGTTCCGGCGCAGACGCGGTTGAGCTTGCATTCGTGTCGCTTGCTGAAGAGCCGCCACCTCTGTTTGAGTGCGCCGAATGTCCGCTCAACGACCATGCGGGTTGCGGAGTGGACGTAGTTGTACGTCTGCTCCCAGCTTTTCATGAGGCGTCTGCGCGAGGCGTTGACTGGTGTGAGGCAGTAGTCGCGGAGCGGGTATGCTGCATCGCCCACAATCTGGAAAGGCGCAATGTCACCTCGCTCGAGTCGTGCATGCAGGTCAGACTGCTGGAAGACGCCCTGGTCGTGCATGGAGCCAGGATGCCCTACAACATAGTCCCAGATGTAGCCTTTGCTGTCACATGTAACTTGTAGCTGCGTGGAATAGACGCCTTTGCGGTTGTAATACTCCTGCCGGTGATTCTCCAATCCCTTGATCTCGATGTGGGTGCCGTCAATAGCGCCTATGACGTTTGGCAGCCCCCTAACCGCTTTAAAGTCAGCAGCCATGTCCTCCATCTCGTCATATGTTGGGAAGCGTACCCACGTCCGTTTGAACCGCCGTGGGAAATGCAAGAGAAAAGCATCGACAATCTTGTGCAGGATAGACTTAGGAATGCCGAAGTAGATAGCCATGTCTATGTACGGCATTGCAGAGGCGAAATACTTGATCGGAATCAAGCAGCACATCTCCACCGGGATGCCGTAACGATCCACGAAATGGCTCATAGGCTGAGCCATCGCGGGAGTAATCTCCGCCAACACCTCTCGCGATATGCGGAACATGTTGATGAAGTCGTCGTCGTCCATCACCTGCAGGTCGTCCATCCATTCCGAGATACGGCGGGCACGGCGCGCTTTGCGTGCACGCTGGAGGCGATCGCGCTTTGCGCGCTGCGCGGAGTCCGATTCTGCAGCGATGCCCTGCATGGTGATCCACTGCACAGCCGCGCTAGCGGCCAGGAGGTGGAAGTGCTGTCTATAGAAATCGAACAAGACAGCTAGGGCTAACACAAGGAGAAGACCCAGCCTTTGCGGCATGGCTAGATCCTTTACGAGGTGTGGTTGTGTGCTGCTCGCCAGTGCTCTATAACCGTGAATGCACCGACGCATGCTTGAGTTTACAGTTTGTGGTCTTTGGTTTGCAGGATCGAGTTGTAGTGGAGTCATGCCGCGCAGGTGTAGTTTACAAGTTTCGATTGATTGCGTCTCGGCCAATGCAATGGCTGGTTGGTTCATGAGTCGTGACTTCTCATGCAGCCGGTTGACCGCTTGGTGCTCTGTATTTGCGTTGTTGTGATTGGTTCGGTGGTTTCGCGTGTATGTGTCGCACAATGTTTTTTGAGCTGCCACCAACATCGAGGCGCGCGCGCTTCGGTCCCAAAGTTGGTGGCAAGCGCACACCACGCTTGCCACCAACAGTAGCATGAACAGTGCTCCTGCCACGAACCACGCACCCTTATTGTCACATTTTTGCCCGTGGCGACAAGGGCGAATGTGGCGAAATGCCTTAACGCCTGCAGAACAGCGCCGTAATGGCAGCAGGGGGAGTGGCCGAGTTCAGATGGCGTTCCTGAGATGGGGCCCCATTCGGCCCCATCCGACGTGGCCCCAAGCAACAGTGCACGAAACACGTGCCCGTGGCATGGCAGCAAGGTGGGGGGTGAATGTGGACGTCGCATGAGTGGGCAGCCGAGGGTCGTGCAAAATTGCCTCACGTTAACTTTCCTTGCCTCTGAACGTCAGAACGAGTCAAGCTAGACTGTCGCGTAACAAAAAAAAAATGAAAATCATCTATCGGTTCCCACCCAGTGTGTTCTCGACCATGGGAGTATGTGGCTGTCTGAACGACAGCCGTTTTTTACTGTCACGGAACCCAGTCGTGACTGGATTGGAATCGGAGCACACTTGCGAGACTAGGTTGGAACGTTTAAACTTGTCACATGAACGTTAATACAAAAGCATGTGATTCGTTGATCCAAATATTTCATGGTTTTCGCCCCAGGCGACTCCCGTCGCCAGGCACGTGTGGTGGTGTGACCAGAATCAAATTCTGCCATGGTGGACCAATGTTGTTGCACCGACCATGGCAATTGATGGGGCCCCATCTCAGGAACGCCATCTCAGATTGCCATACCATTTTAGACACGATACCCTGCCTTGTTCCCCACGTGTTATGCATTCTCGCAATGCTCTTTTCCTGCTCTGCTCTCTACTGCTCCCTGCTCCATCACTTCCCTGTCTCCGTCACGAGCACGCCAGGCAAGGCGGAATAGCGCGTGCCGTCCGTGTGGAAGCACCATCTCGGAGCTAGCCCAAGTCTTGACTTCGTCCCACCAGATCGAGCTAGACTCTTGTTCGCGTTCTCACGCTACGAGCCCCGCTTTTGCAACGAGCCCCGCTAACGCTACGAGCCTTGCACGCGCTACGAGCCTCGCTTACGCAACCAAGAGTTCGACGCGCATCCAGCTCGCCCCTCGTTCAATGCGAGAGACGGTGTGGCAGAGATAAGGGACGGATTCTGCTCATCGCAACGCGCGGCAGAGTCTTAACGTCCCTTTTAGGCCGTCCGACTGCCACGTGACGGTAGAGTTAGAAATCCGACACGCAGGCTGGTGGTCTGAATTTGTCGGTTGCCGAACAAGAGTTGGAGCGGCTTTCTAGACAAAGACCGCCATCGCGAAATTGGGAAGTGCGGAAAGTAGCCCTGAATACACTCTTGCACAACTTACCCGATAGTACACCCCCGGCACTTTTGAGTCAAGGTTTTAGAACTGCGTGGCGACAGTCACTGGCGTAGTAACTTCCGAGTCACTTTCCCGCGCCTTTCTGCACAAACTCAGTCAACCGTTTAGCAACGCCACCCGCATCTGCGCACATGCTAAACAGTCACGGGCTGCTCCACCCAAATGTTCACCTGCCCATACCGTGTCAACCAACTCGAAAGCGACGAGCACGTAACCCCAACTGCCAATCCGTACGGGCTTCCCCACGTGGCATACTGTTTCAACTCCCACGTCCACGTAAGCGTACATGCAGCAAAACGTACAGCAACCACAACCGTTGGATGGACACCCTGGTCACGCAATCACTACGGTACACGTGTCGCATGTACATAAACTCGCATAGCACGTTACGCATTCGCGCACACAAACTCGCACAGCCTTGCAAGCTCACCGCGCTCCGATCTGCACCGTACATCTGGTGGTCAAGCATCCTTCCCACACCGTACATTTGGATGCATCCCATAGGGCAGCAAACCGCATATCACGCCAACGGTAGCCACTACCCCTCATCCACGCGGCCTCACTCCACTTGCGCATCGTGCGTCCGCACCAGACGCGCCAATGCATAAACACCGTACACCTGAACCAATGCCACCGTTTCGTGCACTTCGCGAAAAGTCTCGCCTACCATTAGGGTTGCGCTCGCAACTAGATGACGACGACACCTGCGTCGTCCATCTGTATACATCGTAAACACCACCGACCTTCCACGTCACGCACAATTAATCCATCTTACCCGTACACTTGCAACCCGATCATGCAATCGCACAAACGGTAACCGGTTGCCCTACCCATCGTGGCTCACGTTTGCGACGTATGCGCGAACCACTCACAACCGTGCATTTGTCGCACCCGTATAGCATATCACAGCGCACATCCCACCGTCGGCCTCATCTTCACGCTCGTCCACGATTGTGACACGGGTGTACAAGCGCGTGCCACCCTCCCATACCATTGGCTCCACGTCATCCCTTAGCCTTGTTGCGGTCCAACCAGATGTCCACTTACGCGCACCGCTGCGTCCTTTACGTCCAACGTACAGGTGACACATGGCACACACCGTAAAATTCGCCGCAGAATGCGGCGCATCCCTCTCCGTCCCGCACATCTGGGCGACGGCGGGTTCGCTGTGGCATGCACCATATAGTTTCTGTTATGTGCTGTCATATGCGAGCAATACCCCAATTGAAGCTTTTCCCATTAACAACAAACGCACACACAAACATACAACGCCTCCACGCCTATGTCTAACCCCCCCACATCTTCAACACTGACACATGCTTAACCCAGGTGCGCGTTCCACAGCTACACATAACCCTGTCACACAGCCGCAAATCATCGTACACACGCAGCCAATCTACTGTCCCCGCAACGGTAAAACCCACGCTTCCCCCATCCCCTCCACGCCAGCCGTCCTACTCATCCCCCACGGATGCCGAAAGGTCGTCGTCCCCCACTGGCTCCTCCGGCTGGGCTGCGCCGGCGGACCTCATGTGCTCCAGGCCGCACGCAGAGATGCGCAGACCATGGCGCCCCCAGATCCACGCCTCCCGCTCCGCGTCATACTCCGGGTTGCGGATCCTGATCGCCCTCTCCATGGCCTCCTTAACCAGGACCTTGAGGCCGTCCACAACGTGGGCGTTTCCGCCGGCCGAGTTGGAAAGCCGGCCTTTCCTCTGCTCCCAGTAGAGGACGCAGTCGGAGACCTGCGCCATCACGCATCGTGTCACTCAAATGGTCCGACGTAAACAACACAGATGCATGGCACACATAGAGCGCACAGACTCACCACATGCTCCAACCAGGCCAGGTGGTACACCTTCAGCGTCATCACCAGGCCGGCCTTCTTGGGCCTGAATGCAGCCTTCGCACATGTCGCGAACGCCCGAGAGGCGAACGGCATGCCATCCCGGTCTGTCGCCCATGTCGTGAGCACCAGTGTTTCTGCATTCCCACGTGCATGCAGGTCAGTGTCAACGGCCGTCACGCACGAGGGTGACAGCATAACGATGCGGTGGCAAGCCTGGTTGCTGGGGTAGACCGCACTCACCAGGGGGGTCAGCGCCGAACCCAATGCGCTCCCGGATCTTCTCAATACTGCGTTCCTTCTCCGGTGCCCATGGGCTGGATGCGTCCCGATCGTCGCGGAACAAGCCGAGCTTGGGAAGTGCAATGTCGCGCACGCGGGCGGCAGCCCGCGTCTTCCACTCAGAGAGTGTCTTGTTGAGATCAGCGCGACGCGACTTGTCAGCCGCCAACGCCAAACAGGCGAAGCTATGCGGCAGGCGGTCCAGCACCGCACACACCCCGTGTGTCTTGTCGTCGCTGCTCGGGTAGAAGGTCATCATCGACGTCGGCCTGTTGAGAAACATGTGCACCCTGGCCAGCTCGCACACCCGCTGCGCACATAAGGTATACACAACAACATGAGTGGCGCACACCGGTATGCATGACGGTTGAATAATGGAACCGGACGGGAACGGGCCCGCTCACCTTCCACGCCTTGTCCGCAGGCAAATGCTCCAAGGCGCGCTGCAGAATAGGAGACTTGGCCGTGCGCATATGACGGCCACCAGATCCATGTGTGTCGTCATCGTCGTCCTCGCCGTCATCGTCTGACCCGCCACTCCACGTCTCGCCACGCTTACGCTTCGGGTTCATACAACCCTGCCCCGGGTCTCTCTGCCTGGTCGCCTTACGCTTATGAGAGCCACTGGACGGCCGAGACATCGCATTCAAGAACAGCGCCTCCAACCGCGCGTTCTCCTTGGCGCTCTTGTCCTGAGCCTGAATGAGTTGCTCGAGGATACGGCTCGGTATGCGCACGTCATCGCTGTTGGCGTCCACTGTGTCCCAGCGTGTGGGTCCCACCAGTCCGTCCACGTCGTGATTAGCGCGAGTGTCAGCGTTGGCCGCGGATGGTCCCGCACGCCCATCGTCGTCCGTCTTCCCCCCCTTAGCGGGCTCGGCTGATTCTTCGCCTGATCCTGATGCCGACGTGTCTCCGCCTTCCTCGTCCTCATCCTCGCTGCGCTCGGACGAATCTGCACTCTCCGCCCCAGTGCCGTCATCTGTGGGTGACAGAATGACAACAGGCGCACAGAACCGCAAGTTAGCATACGCGCGCAACAACCGCCGCGAACGTCGTGACTGATCCACTCATGATCGTAATGCATACCTTCCTCTGGCTGCACCACCTCCTTCCCCTTCTTGCGGAAGCTCAGGCTCTTGGGTAAGGGCGCCCCACGGTTCCCG